GGTGGGAGTGGGGGGTGTAAAAATTTTGGGGGGTTTTGCGACACTTTGGGGCATTTTTCAGGTGGAATTGGGGATTTTTTCGTCCAATTTGGTTTTTTTTTTCGGGGGGAATTAGGGATTTTTTGGTCCAGTTTGGGCTTTTTTCAGATGGAATTGGGGATTTTTGCTGCAATTTGGGGATTTTTGGTCCAGTTTGGGGAATTTTTGCTCCGGTTTGGGGATTTTTGCTCGGATGAGGGTTTAGGGGGGTGGGAGTGGGGGGTGTAAAAATTTTGGGGGGTTTTGCGACACTTTGGGGCATTTTTCAGGTGGAATTGGGGATTTTTTCGTCCAATTTGGTTTTTTTTTTCGGGGGGAATTAGGGATTTTTTGGTCCAGTTTGGGCTTTTTTCAGATGGAATTGGGGATTTTTGCTGCAATTTGGGGATTTTTGGTCCAGTTTGGGGAATTTTTGCTCCGGTTTGGGGATTTTTGCTCCAATTTGGGCTTTTTTTGGGTCCAGTTTGGGTTTTTTCACGTGGAAACGGGGATTTTTTGCTCCACTTTGGGGGTTTTTGGTCCAGTTTGGGTGGGTTTTTTTTTCAGGTGGAATTGGGGTCCTTCTGCTCCAATTTGGGTTTTTCCATGATGGAACTGGGAATTTTTGTTCCAATTTGGGGATTTTCAGGTGGAATTGGAGCTTTTGGTTCAATTTGGTTTTAGTTTTCAGACAGAATTGGGTTCATTTTGCTCCAAAAAAAATTTTTTTTTTACCCCTAAAAATGTCCTCCCATTTTTGGGGTCCTTCCCTAAAAAGAGCTGCCCTCCCCCCCCAAATTTGGGGGCTTTTCCCGCCCCAAAAAATTTGAAACATCCCCAAATTTTGGGCTCTTTTCTCTCAGAATTGGGGCCTCTCCCTCCCCCCCCCAGATTTGGGGTCCCCCCGGGAATTTGGGACCCTCCCCAATTCCCCTCCCCAAATCCGGGGTCTTCACCCTCACATTTGGGCTCCCCCCACCCCATTTCCCCCCCTCCAAAATTTGGGATTTTCCCCCTCCCCCGAATTTGTGATCTCCCCTTTGTGCGCATGCGCAGGGGGCGTGGGACCTTTCCCCAGGGGCGTGGCCAGCGCGGAGCACGGGGCGTGGTCATCGCTCACCCATATAAGGGCATGGGCGTGGCCACGCGCGGACAGACGCGACCCGGAGCGGGCGGGGGGCGTGGCCTGGGTGAGAAAGGGGCGGGGTTTGTGCGGAAAGGGGCGTGGCCGGGGTGGGCGTGGCCGCGCGAAGATGGCAGCGCTGAGCGGGGACGCGCTGGGGCTGGAGCGGGGTGCGCGGCTTTTGGGGCCATTTGGGGCATTTTGGGGATTTTGGGGGATTTTGGGGGGCCCGGGGGGGTGCTGGATTTTTGGGGCTGTTTTGGGATGATTTTGGGGTGGCTCTGGGGCTGCTTTTGGGGTGATTTTGGGGCTGTTTTAGGGTGACTCTGTGGGTCATTTTGGGGTGACACTGGGGGTGACTTGGGGTTGATTCTGGGGTGGTTTTGAGGTGATTTTGGGGATGATTTTGGGGTGACAGGTGATTTTGGGGTGACTCAGGGGGTATTTGGGGTGTTTTGGGATTATTTTGGGATGATTTTGGGGTGATTTTGGGGTGATTTTGGGGCCGTTTGGGGGCTGACTCTGACGGTGATTTGGGGGTGATTTTGGGATGACTCTGGGGGTGATTTTGGGGCTGTTTTGGGATGATTTGGGGGCTGTTTTTGGGGTGATTTTGGGGTGACTCTGGGGGTGATTTTGGGGCTGTTTTGGGATGATTTGGGGGCTGTTTTTGGGGGGATTTTGGGGTGACTCTGGGGGTGATTTTGGGGCTGTTTTGGGGTGAATCTGGGGCTGTTTTGGGATGATTTTGGGGGGATGATTTTGGGGGTGATTTTGGGGGCTGTTTTGGGATTATTCTGGGGCTCTTTTGGGATGATTTTGGGGTGACTCTGGGGGTGATTTTGGGGCTGTTTTGGGATGATTTGGGGGTGGTTTTAGGGTTTGGGGTGGCTCTGGGGCTGCTTTTGGGGTGATTTTGGGGTAGCTCGGAGGGTGATTTTTGGGGCTGTTTTGGGATGATTTTGGGGTGGCTCTGGGGCTGCTTTTGGGGTGATTTTGGGGCTGTTTTGGAGTGGCTCTGGGATGATTTTGGGGTGGTTTTGGGGCTGTTTTGGGGTGACTCCGGGGTCCCCAGACGTGTCCCGGGCCGTGGAGCTGCTGGAGCGGCTCCAGCGCAGCGGGGAGCTGCCCCCCCAGAAGCTGCAGGCGCTGCAGAGGGTCCTGCAGAGCAAGTTCTGCTCCGCCATCCGCGAGGTGACCCCAACACCCGCCCCAAAGCCACCCAAACCAACCCGAAACCATCAAATCCACCCCAAAACCCGCCCCAAAACACCAAAGCCACCCCAGAAACCCCAAAGCCACCCCTAAACCACCCCAGAAACCCCAAATGCACCCCAGAAACCCCAAAGCCACCCCAAAACCAACCCAAAACCACAAAGCCACCCCAAAACCAACCCAAAACCACCACAAAACCACCCCAAAATCACCACAAAACCAACCCAAAGCCATCAAATCCACCCCACAGCCATCAAATCCACCCCAAAAGTGACCCCAAAACCCCAAATCCACCCCTAAACCAACCCAAAACCCTAAATCCATCCCTAAACCAACCCAAAACCACCAAAACCAACCCCAAAACCCCAAATCTACCACAAAATCAACCCAAAACTCCCAAAGCCACCCCAAAACCCCCAAAATCCACCCCAAGACCACCCCAAAACCATCAAATCCACCCCAAAACCAACCCAAAAACCCCAAATCCACCCCAAAGCCATCAAATCCACCCCAAAACTGACCCAAAACCCCCAAATCTACCACAAAACCAACCCAAAATTACTCCTAGAACCATCAAATCCACCCCAAAATCATCAAATCCACCCCAAAACCATCAAATCCACCCAAAAACCAACCCAAAAACCCCCAAATCACCCCTAAACCCCCCAGTACCATAAAATCCACCCCAAAACCAACTCAAAAACCCCAAATCCACCACAGAAACCCCAAATCCACCCCTAAACCACACCAAAACCCCCAAATCACCCCAAAACCCACCTGGCAACCCCCCAAAAATGAGAAATCCACCCCAAAACTGCCAAAAACTCCCAAATCCACCCCAAAAGCCACCCAGGAACCGCAAAATCCATGCAGGAATCCCGAAATGTTTGGGGAACCCCCAAAATCCAAGGGGCAAAGTAAAAATCCATTGGGAAACCTCCCAAAACCCAACCTGGGAACCCCAAATCCAAAGAGGAACCCCAAAATCCATGGGGGAAACCCCAAAAACCACCCTGGGAACCCCAAAAATCACCCTTGGAACCCCAAAACCACCTTGGGAACCCTGAAATCCACCTGGAAACCCCAAAAACCACCCTGGGAACCCCAAAAATCACCCTTGGAACCCCAAAACCACCTTGGGAACCCTGAAATCCACCTGGAAACCCCAAAAACCACCCTGGGAACCCCAAAAAAATCACCCTGGGAACCCTGAAATCCACATGGGAACCCCAAAAGTCACCCTGGGAACCCCAAAACCCAACCTGGGAACCCTGAAATCTACCTGAGAACCCCAAAAATCACCCTGGGAACCCCAAAACCCAACCTGGGGACCCCAAAAATCACCCTGGGAACCCCAAAACCCAACCTGGGGACCCCCAGTTCCTCCCGGGGCCCCCCCAAATCTCTGCAGCTGCCCCCTGGGGGGTCCGGGGGGGCTGCCCGGAGGTTTTGGGGTCCCCCCCAACCCCGGGGTCCCCCCAGGTCTACGAGCAGCTCTACGACACCCTGGACATCGCGGGGAGCCCCGAAATCCGCGCCCACGCCACGGCCAAGGTACCCCAAAACCCCCCGGGACCCCAAAAACAGCCTGGGGACACCAAAACCCCCCCGCGACCCCAAAAACAGCCTGGGGACCCCAAAAACAGCCTGGGGACCCCAAAAACAGCCTGGGGACACCAAAAACATCTCCGGGACCCCAAAAATACCCTGGGGACCCCAAAAATATCCCTGGGACCCCAAAAACATCCCCAGGTACCCCAAAACCACCCCCGGAACACCAAAAACATCCCCACTTGGGACCCCAAAAACAAGAGCCCCCAATGCCCCCAGTGTCCCCAATGTCCCCGATGTCCCCAATCCCCCCAATGTCCCCAATGTCCCAAACACCCCAAAAGCCCCCACTGTCCCTGATGTCCCCACTGTCCCCAGGCCACGGTGGCGGCGTTCGCGGCCAGTGAGGGCCACGCCCACCCGCGGGTGGTGGAGCTGCCCAAGACCGAGGAGGGGCTGGGCTTCAACATCATGGGGGGCAAGGAGCAGAACTCGCCCATCTACATCTCGCGCGTCATCCCCGGCGGCGTGGCCGACCGCCACGGGGGGCTCAAGCGGGGGGACCAGCTGCTCAGCGTCAACGGCGTGGTGAGAACGGGGGGAAATCCCGGGATTTTGGGGGTTTTGGGGGGTTAAATTGGGGTTTGAAGGGTTAAATTGGGGTTTGGGGTGGGTAAATTGGGGTTTTGGGGTGATTTTAGGGTTGGAGCAGGTTAGGGTGGGTTTTGGGTTTCTGGTTGGGTTTTTGGGGCTCCATGGCGGGTTTTGGGGCGCAGAGCGTGGAGGGGGAGCAGCACGAGCGTGCGGTGGAGCTGCTGAGGGGATTTTGGGGTTCTGGTTGGGTTTTTGGGGTTCTGGTTGGGTTTTTGGGATCGGGGCAGTTTCTGGTTGGGTTTTTGGGGCTCCATCCCCTGTTTTGGGGCGCAGAGCGTGGAGGGGGAGCAGCACGAGCGCGCGGTGGAGCTGCTGAAGGGATTTTGGGGTTCTGGTTGGGTTTTTGGGGCTCCATCCCCGGCTTTGGGGCGCAGAGCGTGGAGGGGGAGCAGCACGAGCGCGCGGTGGAGCTGCTGAAGGGATTTTGGGGTTCTGGTTGGGTTTTTGGGATCGGGGCAGTTTCTGGTTGGGGTTTTGGGGCTCCATGGCGGGTTTTGGGGCGCAGAGCGTGGAGGGGGAGCAGCACGAGCGCGCGGTGGAGCTGCTGAAGGCGGCGCAGGGCTCGGTGAAGCTCGTGGTGCGTTACACGCCGCGCGTGCTCGAGGAGATGGAGGCGCGCTTCGAGAAGCTGCGCACGGCGCGGCGCCGGCAGCACAACAGCTACTCGTGAGCACCCCGCCCCGCATCCTAAATCCCTGTGATCCCAAATCCCGAACCCCAACATCCCTGGGTCCCCAAAATCCCAAAATCCCTGAGTTTCCAAATCCAAAATCCCTGAGTCCCCCAGTCCAAAATCCCTGAGTCTCCAATCCCCAAATCCCCCAATCCCTGCACCCCAGATCCCAAAATGTCTGAGACCCCAAACCCCAAATCCCAAAATCCCTGAGTCCCCAAACCCCAAATCCCAAAATCCCTGAGTCTCCAAACCCCGAATTCCCCAATCCCTGCACCCCAGATCCCAAAATGTCTGAGACCCCAAACCCCAAATCCCAAAATCCCTGAGTCCCCCAGTCCAAAATCCCTGAGTCTCCAATCCCCAAATCCCCCAATCCCTGCACCCCAGATCCCAAAATGTCTGAGACCCCAAACCCCAAATCCCAAAATTCCTGAGTCCCCAAACCCCAAATCCCTGAGTCTCCAAGCCCAAAATCCCTGTGTCCCTAAATCCCCAAACCCAAATTCCAAAACCCAAACCCCAAACCCCTGAGTCCACGAACCCCAAAATTCCTGAGTCCCCGAGACCCAAACACCAAATCCCTGAGTCCCCAAAGCCCTGAATTCCCAGATCCCAAAATCCCTGAGTCCCCAAATCCCAAATCACTGAGTCCCCGAATCCCCCAATCCCTGAGTTCCCAAACCCCAAATCCCTGAGTCCCCAAATCCCAAATCCCCAAATCCCTGACTCCTCAAACCCCTGAGTCCTCAAATCCCAAAATCCGAGTCCCCAAACCCCAAAATTCTTGAGTGCTGAAACTCTGAATCCCAAAATTTCTGTTCCCAAACCCCAAAATCCCTGAGTCCCCAAAACCCAAAATCCCTGAGTTTCCAAACCCCAAATCACTCAGTCCCCAAACCCCCAATCCCTGAGTCCCTAAATCCCCAAATCCCTGTGTCCTCAAATCCCCAAAACCCTGAGTCCCCAAATCCCAAATCCCAAAAACCTTGAGTCCCAAAATCAAGAATCCCCAAATCCCTGTGTTCCCAAATCCCTGAGTCCCAAAATCCCAAAACCCCTGAGTGCTCAAACCCTGAATCCCAAAATCCCCGACTCCCCAAATCCCTAAATCCCTGAGTCCCCAAACCCCAAATCCCTGAGTTCCCAAATCCCTGAGGACCCAAATCCCTAAATTCTAAATCCCCGAGTCTCTAAATCCCGAATCTCCAAATCCCTGTGTTCCCAAACCCCAAAATCCCTGAAACCCAAAATCCCTGAGTCCCTAAATCCCCAAATCCCAAATTCCCTGAGTCCCCAAACCCAAAATCCCTGAGTTCCCAAATCCCTGAGTCCCCAAACCCCAAATCTCTGAGTCCCCAAAGCCCTGAATTCCCAAACCCCAAAATCTCTGAGACTCCAAACCCCAAATCCCCAAATCCCTCAGTCCCCAAATCCCAAATCCCCAAATCCCTGACTCCCCAAATCCCAAATCCCTGAGTCCCCAAATCCCTGAGTTCCCAAATCCCTGAGTCCCCAAATCCCTGAGTCCCCACAGCCCTGAATTCCCAAATCCCAAATCCCTGAGTCCCCAAATCCCAAATCCCCAAATCCCTGACTCCTCAAACCCCAAATTCCTGAGTCTTCGAATCCCAAAATCCGAGTCCCCAGACCCCAAATTCCCCAAGTCCCCAATCCCTGAGTCCCCAAATCCCTGAGTCCCCAAGTCCCCAAATCCCAAAATCCCTGAGTCCCAAATCCCGGAAATTCCAAATCCCAAAATCCTGACCCCTCCCCAATTTCCCCCCAAACCCCCTGACCCCGCTGACCCCTCCCCAATTTCACCCCACAGGTCGCTGGAATCGAGGGGGTAGAACCCCCCGGGACCCCCCAAAGTCACCCGGGACCCCCCAGGATCCTCTGGGACCCCCCAAAGTCACCTGGGACCCCCCCGGGACCCCTCAAAATTCCCTGGGACCTCCTGGGAGCCCCCCGAGTCACCTGGGACCACCCTTGGACTTCCTGGGACCCCCCCTGGAATCCCCCAGGACCTTCTGGACGGGGGGGGGTGGAGGGGCGGTTTCCATGGCGACAGCGGGGACGGGGGGAGGGGCGCTCCGTCTCCATGGCAACGGCGCCGGCTGACGCCCGGTCTCCATGGCGACCGTCCTGAGGGGGACTCGATGCCGTCTCCATGGCAACGCGGCCCGGTTTCCATGGCGACGCACGGGGGGGGATGGGGGGGGAATGGTCCATCCCCATGGCAACGCGGGGGCGGGGCCGTCTCCATGGCAACGCGCATGCGCGGCCGCCCCCGCCCCCGCCCGATGACATCACCCCGCCGCGGCCCCG